TCGTCTCTTGATATTGTTGTTTTCTTTCTTTCTTTCCATATTATTCTCAGTAGTTTTTCTACCAAATGAAATGAAAGATAATGATACTGTTAATGGTACCGAGTTACAGCTCAGTTTGTCTTCAGAGACAGTAGAGTTAAAATCCAACAGAAGTGCTTTAGTTGTACATATTCACTGGTTTTTTATCAGTTCGTCTTCATACTACCCAACCATACGATTCAGTAGGTTTCCTTGTTTACATTCCTTCTGTTTTCGCTTGAAAGACCTCTGATTTTTCTATTAATAGCTAATATTGAACAATAAACCTGGACCCCATGAACAGCAAGCTTTGTAAATTGGAATTCAAAAAATCATAAAAAGACAAACCTGCAGTTGTGGCGAATTGCATGGCATAGACCATCTACCTTAATAGTCTAACCAGGTGCAGAACAGACGAACTTACTACTTATTTCATTTGGATTTGTCTTCCATCATGAATGAACCAGGACCACAATTAGCCTGATTCCATGACCATCGTCTCGATCTTGATGACTTTTGGTCTAACAAACGTTTGGGATTGCATGTTTGATCAGTGTTAGACTGCGACGAGAGTAGCAAAGATTTATATACCACAAATTAAGGGATAAATAAATAATTAAATCCTTACAAATATAACGGATATCCCATTAAACATATTGTTATACCATTTAGGTGGTGTGTAATATTTAGCTGTTTGCTTGCATTACGACCGAAATTGTCATTACAAAATGGGAACGAAATGTGATTAATATTCTGTACAAATAATCTTGTAGTATCCAGTCATCTCCACCATTTACAAGCAAACAGTATTAATCTGGTGTATGGTACAGCCTGTTACAATCCTATACTATACTCAATATTTTACAACAGACATCTTCAGTTTTATTGTTACCATCGAACATCACAAATAACCACAACCAAATCACCAACACCGGAAATACAATATGGATTATTTCCCTTAGTGGACGATGACGTCATCACGACACTCTGGTCTGTAATGAGGAATCTGAATTGGAAAAACATCATCATATTTTACGACACGGAATGTGGTAAGAGTTGGGGAGTACATGTGGTTAAAATTTAGAAAGTGCATTTGTTTACGTCATTTCCCCAAAATATTAAAGGCACATGCAAATGGGCGCGGTAATATCCGATGGAACATATGGTGCAGAGTACTTGATATAGTAGAACATACATGAAGCGTATATAATATCGCAGCGGAAACCATCCACCATCGTCAGTTCGCACCTTTTCAATCAATGTATAGGTATATGGTTGTCTTGATACCTGATTTTAATTAAACACCTTCATCTTGGTCCTTTGTCTAACCAACCTTTTATTTCTATTTCAGAACATATTGCCTCAAAGTTCATCCAGAAAATATCATCAAATAGCCTGACGTCAGTGTCCTATAACATAGATAAAATCACCAATATCACAAAGGTGTTATCATTAACTGCACCGTATGATAATGTATTACACGATTCCAGAAAGTTTATATCCCTCGCCTCCACCTCTAATACTCTCCGTGTCTTGAGACAGGTACGTACAGAGATCGCTCGTCCAAGTAGAGTAGATCAGAACAGGTAAAATAACCTAACGAAACTAGTTATGAAGAGATGACAAGGTTATAACGTCTGATTTGGTATAGCTTTTGAAATCAGTTCTGGTCAGATTGCAAGAATGTTCAGCGTCAGAGGGAATTCGGAAGTTGCCAATTTAAGGGCCCGATACACGTTCAAAGTCAAGAGAGTTTTTTTTAATCCCCTTAAAGTAAGATTCGCCTATTTGATATATCATAAAAATTGTATCAAAAAGTGGAGACTGCAGATGTTTGTCCCTGTAAAGTTTCATGTCATTATAAATATATCCTATGTTGACCGTAACTCACTAATGAAAAGATAAACCAGTGCCTTCTAAGCACCAGATCCTTGTTGTAAAGAGGATTACGTTTTTTGTTTTCACGTAATCCCTGTGTTCTCTTTATTTTCATTAAATATAATGAATTTTCTGTCATCCGTCTTTTATGAAAAATGTATTGTTTCATTATGGCTAATTCCAATATAAACCGAGATTACACACACATATACATGTATATATATATGTAATTATTATCTTTTAGATTTTTTTCACGTTTCCAAACATTGACAGTCTATTCCCATTCACGTTTTACGATATGCAAAAGGAGAGGATGCAAAATAGCTCAGAATACTGGAAGATCTGTGATAAACAGTTCAAGTTATTTTCTGTTTTCTTGCTTTGTCACATTTATGTTTTAAAGGAATAGAGTTTTGTTATTGACCTTTGGGTGATATAAAATTACATCTGATTCGTTATTTCCGTTTTCAGGCGGACATATTTGATGATCTGAATGAAAGAAGAACAGCGATCCGTCAGATGTCGCGATGGTTAGTTCTGAACCCTTTCGAGAGCATGGTATCTTTAAACTATGATGGTATAGACCTGGATAATGTGGCTTTTATAGAACCACCCAGACGTACACAGTTTATGAACGATTTTAATGACTTGAACAAGGTAGGTCAAATCCTGTAAGCTTCGCAATGTGCAGGATAGCGTAAGATTCCTAAGTCGGAGTTATTCTCAACATCATACTGCCCCATTTTATCGTAATTAAAGTGTTATTTTTGCATTCATATTTAACGATATTCTGGTAGGTATAATTGGTAGATATAAAAGTAAGCAAATACTCATTAAAGGTAAAATACAGTCCAGATCATATAAATAAATCAATAACCAATAGACAAGCAATATTATTCACACGGCTAGTCAGCGAACAAACATCACAATATATAATAGTAATAATAATTCATTGTGCATTTCTTAATGTCTCTCATTACATCATTCTGTAGAGTTCTGTTTACCGATAATATTCATGTCAGAAAATACATTTAGTTAAAGTACAAAAGAAAAACACCACCATGTGCGTCTATATAGTACTGTTGGATTTCTCCATATACTTTTTATCTTTCAAACGTAGATATTTCTGAATACAGATGAATTTGAAGGCTCAAATGTTGACGGTCAGATATAGCTTATAGCTAATATATTTCCATTTCTGAGACCAAGGCACGATTGGTCAAACGCATGGCGAATCTGTCCCTTAAAACAATTGGGCTATAGGATGTCGAATAACAGTATTCCAATTTCGTTCTCTAGCACTGATGGACAAGAATAGGGCGGAATGGTTCTCTTAATTTTATCTTCACCGTTGAAATATTTATCATCATACAAAATCATTATATAGATGACCAATGTGAATTATTAATTATAACAATATCAGATTGGTCAATTATTCATCTTAATGGACGTCATTAACAGAAATCAATCATATGATAATTAAAAGAATGGTGGTGTAGCAAAACTTTTTATATAAACCAAAACACAACGTGAAATACTCGCCAAAATGCATTTATCATATACTATATCAACTTACCATAGTTGTAAGTCAAATCAAAATTAGACCAAACTTTCATTTTTTATTATCTACACTTTTTATATAGCCACTTCAGCAAGGGTCCAAGGACAGCCAATCAAATTCCTGTCCTCTCCAAAGCTCGGATTTTGACGCAAAAAAAAGATGGATTCTGAATCTTAGAAGCAATAGACACTGAGTGCACCTTTTGTTCGCGTAGACTTTATTCTGACCCCGGACATTGTAAAAACAACACGTGTTCTGCGTTCATAAATGAAGACAACAACCATAACAGTTGAAATGCAACTTCAACAGATCAGGATATTTTTTTTTTAAACTGTGCTGAATTTTCAATATTAATGATCAAAAGAATCCGAAATTTTCGTTTTTTCAGAATTTCAAATCTGATTTAAATTGGACATTTGCTAATTTTCCAAAACCAGGTGAAAACCAAACACTCAGTTCCGATGATTTATCCAGATTGATCAAAGAAGAATTTATATCGGTAAGTTGTATAAGTTTCTATGGGACAAAAGGTTTTAGAGGTGATACGAATCTGCGACACCTATCTGCGACACCTATCTCATCATCAAGCAGATAACAATTCAACCTAGACATTCCACTGCCCTTTTTGAACCTTTTGAGCAAAGACCTTATTTCCACTTTCTTTTTATGTAATAGAAATAATGCTAGCAATATACATCGAGCAGAAAAATAATAAGAAAACGATCTTGTAGAATATACAGGTACTGTATCATCATAGCGCCAGGATGTCCTGGGGTCTTTACTTCTAACACTGTTTTTAGGACATCCTAGCGCTAATATCATTTCGAGAATACGGGACCAGGGGTTTTGTTTTCCAATTCATGTAAATTGAAAGTAAACAACTACCAAACAAAAATATCCGATTCTTTTAATCCTATTCAGAGTTTATAGCTTATATTACAATAGTCATTCTAATTTATTCTAACTTAGAAATATCTATAAAGATGACTTTCCGGATTCAAAATACAGAATTCATTGACCAAGACTTTGGAAACGAATCGATAAAAAGCGTTTTAGCTTTGTCCATGGTGTTAATGCTACGTTTATCATCATAAAATGTCATTTCCAGGCACTAGACGCATCGGCAAAAAGTTGGAAAGCCAGATTATACACATTACTATGGAAACCAGGGGGCAGATCAATCGGAATTGTGGGTCATGTAACCAACACATATGACGTCATACACGCGGCTGATTTATTTCCAAATACTAAATATGGTTTTAATAACAGAACGTTTACTATCGCTTTCAACACGGTAATATTTCCTTTTACAATCATTGTCTAAACAGTATTGAGCATCATAATATGTTTAGATTTTATTTGTCTCGAGTGTTTAACATGTGTTTCTACTACGCATGTTAGAACGAAACACTCTATTTAATTTTACTGCACATATTAAAATTTTGGAAAGCTTAAGAATCTTCCATCCATTTACAACTTGATTTTTATTACATTTTAGTGGTTTCCATATATTATTAAGCGCGAGGTAAAGGATGTACCAGTGTATAGTGGATTTTGTATGGATCTACTTCAAGAACTTGCTTCGTCCATGAATTTTAGGTAAGGTCACAAACATGTTCACCCTCTCAAATAAGAATAACTTCATGGTAAATGAATAAAAACTATAAACTATAAGGTAAATGAATACAATCTACGAAGCACAATATATCTCCAAACCTAGCGTAGATTTGAGGTGTCCTGCAGTATTTTGATGGTGTACGTATCGTTTCAAATAATATCTCCTAAGTCCTAGGTATAATATTTGTTCCTTTATTCCAGCTTTATAATTGTAATGCCCGAGGATGGTCAATGGGGCGTGGTAGAAAACGGAAGTTGGACAGGACTGGTAGGACAAATAGTTAGAAGGGTAAGCTAATCTCAGTGTTAAATATTGTCATAGAATATAAATTTGCCATCTTCAGAGCACAGTTAGTTACCACAGTAACATGGCATTCCTGCAGGGGTTGCACTTCTCCACAAGTGAGACCTATCACAATATTCAATACAAGGACCGTAAAGTAAAGGTTTTATCTTGGTGGGTGTTGCGTGCTGGACAGAAAGCGCCTTATCTTTCCAGCGACTCTCGAATTACCACCCATTTTCTTTTGATAAATAATTCAGGATATGTATGGAACTCTATCAATGCGTATTTCATTTATTTTGTCGGCTTTTGGACTTGGGTTTAATTTTGAAATCGGTATATGTATAGTATATATTGATTTCTCCCCACAATTAACGAGGACTCAAAGCTTAAAAATCCTTTCCGAAGGAGGCACCCGCCTGAATCATGCATGTCGTTGAATGTCTCTTTCCAGGAAGTAGATCTAACTGTAGCACCGTTGGTAATCTCTTCAGAACGTTTAAAAGTTATGGATTTCAGTTTTCCTTTTTTCCACGACTATTCCACAGTCTTATACAAACTGCCGGATCCTAATCTATATAAATGGAGAAAGCTGATCGATCCAATGAAAGGAGAAGTATTTATGTGTATCCTGATCTCGTTTATGATAGTCACCATAACCCTGTATGTGATGGAGAAACATAATCCCTTCTACCAGAAATTCCGTATACATTCTTTCCAAGAATATGTCATATATGTTTTTGGAGCTATGCTAACACAGGGTATGAGATGTTTTATTTTCGTTTCGTTTCCAGTTTCCAAAATTGAATAGCCGGTCACAATTAATTTGGTGGTATAGAGACCTGCGGCTACTCTGCTGATTCAGAAGAGCTTCATCTTCACTTGTTAAACTATTACATACTGCGTCTAATACCTTGACTTCAATGGATATTTTCCTATATAACAAAATGTATTGATCTGATTGGTTTGTCGCTAGCACATACAGTCAATCTGAGCCCTTGGCTAGTGGTTTACAGACGTTCTGTTGAGTGCTCTGACTTGCTGTATTCGGTGGAGTATAGTCCTATCAAATCACTGCATTTACATTAGATGAAAGATATTAAATTGTTCCTCTTGTTAAATAAGGATGTCTCCATAGTTTCTTCCATATCTAAATCATAAATGTTGTCGGGGAGTGGACTTCAACTTACAGGTTTGCTATTTGTATGGGTATATGTCGACTTTTCTCCATGTGATAGAACAATTGTTTTAAATTTTAGGAGGACCTAATCAACCTCGATCATCCAGTGGAAGACTTCTAATCGCCTGTTGGTGGTTATTTTCAATAGTAGTGGTAGCTATATATAGTGGTAATCTAATAGCGTTCTTAACAGTTACCAAAGATCAGCCACCATTTGAAACTCTAGCAGAACTTAGCCAACAAGACACATATAAATGGGGCACAATAGGGGGTACGATCTGGACCACCTTTCTTAAGGTAACGTTTAACAGACAATGCGCTTCAGAACAGATTACGGTTTTGCAAACAAAATATATTTGGCATTTGTGAGTAACGTTAAATTCGACCAGAAGCAAACTGGTCCCAATGTATTATCAGGTGTTTCAGTATTGTGGGCACTTTGTGTGAATTATGTTAATCATTGACTCAGTCAATTGTAACTTTTTGCGTACTGTATTTTGTTTCTTGTCTTCAATTTTCACGTAATAGTAAATCTCAAATGAATTCTTTAAACTAGTAAAATTGTCTATATGTCATTGCAAACATGTTTTAATTTCAGACAGCCAACACTCCCGACACGAAGGCATTATGGGCCGGTGTAGTCAAGTTTAACAAGACGGATCCAGTTGTGTTAAGTATTGACGTTGACACACATCTAAAGAAAGTAGCCAATGGAAACTATGCTTTCTTAGCTGACAAGGCGATGCTAGAAATCAAGATGGCGACTGAGTGTGATTGGGTGTTCTTAAAAGAACTGTTTTATCCTCTACAATACGCTGTAGGATTACCAATGAAATCACCCTACAATAAATTATTTTATGATGAGTAAGTACCGTATTTACCTCCTAGTTAGAGATCATGTTTAACTCATACTTACAGCACTCGTATTGTTATTCTGCGAGTGGACCTGCAAAATATACATATTATGCGAATATTGTCAGATTCATCGTTAAAGAAACCTTCAACCTCTTCTGTGTGACAGCATTCACGTGTGTCTGAATATTTCTCTGAAGTTGTATCATTTTCATAAAAATCGTTCACATAGCACGTCTATTTTTCAGAATGTTACGAATTTATGAGACAGGATTGTTACAAATTTGGAAAAAAAGATGGTGGCCGAAAAAGGGCACTTGTAAAGGTTCTTTAGTGACCGAGGCCAAGAGAATTGAATTGGTGGATCTTCAAAGTGCCTTTTATGTGATTGCTATTGGAATTGTGCTGGCATCATTTATTATTGTCAGTGAATGTTTTTATTTTAAACGAAGTTTCAGTATTCAATACCAGACATAACGTGTTATCACAAAATAAAGGCACAGAGTTCTGTGGTTTTTTTTTTTTTTGTATTTATGACTGGCGATTGCTAGTATCCCCGATCAGATGCTGTTGCATTGATTCATAAGCGATAAAGAGACAATCGAGTTGCCTGAGCATTTGTCATGGTATGACGAATGCCATGAGATATATGTAAATGTTGACGTTATTCATTTACTTTTGTCCGATAGTAAGTAAGAGTTATCTGCTCTAGCTGAAGCATATTGTTATTTTTATTGTAATCAGCAAAATAATTCGATTCGATAGCGGCAAAAAAAAAATCGTCTATGCCAAATCAACAATGAGGGTCACTTCGTTGTAGTTGTCTCGAATGTGAAACTATGTGTTATCTCCCTTTAATATCAGAATAATGTTTGCAGTGCGTGGCATACGTTCTATCGTTAAACCTTGCACCAAGACTGATGGATTAAATTCACCACTGTGCAATGTGTAGTGTGCAATGTGTAGTTGTTGACATGAAAAACGCGTTAACTTGCCAAGAATTATATTTAATTCAAACACTGAACGTCATCGTGTTTGTTGCTCAATTGAAAGAAATTATATATCGGAGAAAATGGATTGGATATTTTGAATGTGTGTATAGGCTCATGAAGGCTACCCTCTGCTAAATATTCCTTCCCTATAAGCAGTATTAATATGTGTGCACTATTTATTAATTTATTAACAAAATCGGTTACATGGGCGAATATTAATAATAGCCTGTATATTACACTCGCACGAAACATCAGATTTCCAGCTGAAATTGAGCGTTATCAACTGTTAACCGATATTTAACCTATTAAGGTTGTATCTTTTTCTGGTGAGATCATTAACCTTAAACTCTTGTAGTTACTTGACAGAAGTAAAACAGATTCTACTATGTGTAGCCCTGTCGTCAGATGCAAGCGACAAAACGAAAATAAGTATTAGATTTGTGGTTTATATATCTTCTCTGTCTGACGAACGCACAGCATGAAACTTTTGCATGTTTCACATTATTTTGTTAATGTTAATAAACTGTAATACATGTATTGTTGATTCTGGTGATAATGTTTGCACAATACTAGATCTTACTAATTACATGTTGATACATGACAACACCGTCCATCACAATTTATAATTTGATTAGATTATTTGACAAAGACAAGTTCCTCTTGAACTCAGGAGTGATTTTAATCCGATAAAAAAGTGATAAATAAACTAGATGTTAAAAGGTTGACATTCGACTAGATTCAGACGGAAATTAAAGCTCTTTTAAAATGAAAGTTTGAACATGACAAATAAAAGGCAGAATCTGTGTCACTCACGACTTTAAATATTGGTTTTAAACTTCAAAACCTGACGTATTTAAGTTCACTGACATATAATAAAACTTCAGAGATTAAACGTTTTCAACGATATCTTGAAAGTGGAATATTTATTAACTTCTTCGATTGAGGAGCATCTTAAAATTTGTACCATTGGCTGTTCCATTATCATCATTAACTAATCAATGATACTCTACGACTACAGTGATATCCGACATCTGAGTATTCCGACATTCAGCGTAAACCGACATCATTTTCTGGTCCCGATTGATTTGTTTCTGACATTTGTTTCTGGATCGTCCAAAACGAAACGGAATGCCAAAGCCAGGTATTAGACATCTTCACAATGTCAAACTATTGCTATTACGAACTTCTTATATATCGGGTGGTTCAGAAAAAACAGAATTTTTTCTAAAACATTAAAGCTATGATCATAATATGATCATATATATCAATAGATATATAACACATCTTTGCAGAAAAAATACATTCCTGACTTCAATATGGCATACAATTCCGTGTCAAAAATTTAAATTTGTTCGTAATAGAAGTTTGTTAAAGCTTGACATTGTGAAGATGGGTGTTAACGTAAGAAGTAAAAGTTTTCTGCTTCCATTCATTCGAACACATGGAAACGTAAAAACAATAATTTGACAGATTCTATCAACTTATTTCGAAGCGAAACATTTTCAAATAGACTTAATATTTTTTCCACCTTTTAATAAATCTCTACAGTCAATCATCTTATCAAACTATTACAATAAACTACATGTTAAACCCAGTTCGATTGCTATTATTGTTTGTCTTTTTCTCTTCACAAATACTGAACAATGTTTTGATGATTATTGAAATCCAGATATCAAACCAGAGACTATTGTTAATATTTTAAGAGCAATGTATAAATTACTGAATACATCGGTGATTATGTTAAGCAAAAGTTGCCAGAAAAATAAGATTCTGTGTACATAAAACTACACGGACTGACTCCATCGTTTCGCATAAAACAATGGCTACATTATATGTACACCATGTACACCACAAGCAATATTACTAAGATGTGAATAACATTTGATTTCTCATCCGTTGTTTTGAAGACAGCATAGCTGCGAGTTTTTATGAAAAAAATAATTTAGTAAATGTTCTCGACTGAGTGGCCTCAAGTGTAGACAAGGACTATGCTGGTGTCATCTTGACTATTAAACCAATGATATGATGAAAGACGTTCAATATATATTGCATCCGATTGATCAAAATTTTCAAGTAAAGCCTCTCAATTGCAATGTGGCCTCAAGTGTTTATTGCCAAGAACGATTTACAAAAATCACTAGCTTTGGAATACTTTTAAAACCTTTCTGTATGATATTATATTGGTGGAAATATACATCATTTCATACAACTTCCTCTGTACTGAACTGGGAACTTTTTGTTCTGAATAATGGCCGCGAATTTTTTTGTGGTGACATGGCATTATCGTTTCATTTCTCAATATTTATGATCTTATATTTCAAACACAATTTGATACTACATCCATTAACAACTATACATTTTTACTTCTAGAATGTTTTATGACTCAAAGGTTTAAAAAACGTTCTTATAATATATGTTTATGATATATTTTTAAACTGTGGAATGTGTATTTAAACCACTTCCGTTCCCTGTAAGATATTATGTTACCCTTCTCTTGCACAGTGCTCTCAAGTGCAACAAAGTCTCTTCAGGTGCCCCTCACACCATAGCGATCACCAGTTGCGTATATTTGCAAAATGTTGTAAAATGCGTTCTGACCAGTTTCATTATTCGCAACCATACGTAACTGATAATCGCTATGTTGGTAGAGCACCTATAGGTGTAATTAAAACCATACTTATTAATTGTCTGTAATTAAAACAAATCCTGTTGGATCTGTTCCCTGAAATTGTAAACTTTATGTTGTTACCTATTGTAGAGTTATCATTAGTGTTTAATCAAGAGCACAGTTCGCATGAAAACTCAAAAACACATCGTTTCAGAAAAAATAGCTTCCTAGCTTAAAACACTTCAATATGGCAGCATGTTTAAAACTCAAAAACACTAGATATAAAATATATCTCAAACTAAGATTTACTACAAGTGTGTACTGTACTGAGTTATCGTTGTACAAAAATTACTAGCGTCATCTTACTATTGAAATATTTATGACCTCACATTTCTTGTAAATTTTATACCATTTCCGTTTCCTTTTAGGCATTTGAAATAACCCTTCTCTTTAACAGAATGGCCTACACAGAATGCGGATATAAAGTTAGTTTCACCATTAAACTTATATTCGCTAGGTTATAGTTCTATAGGATATGATTCCAGAATCCAGATCAACCCACTTCCGTATTATATATAGTAATACTTTTAGCTTAACCCCTCGGAATGGTTTCATACGATACACAGTTTCTGTCAGTCGACTCGATAATGTGTTATAAATAATTGGTTGTAATAGGGTTAAATTATAAAGAATGGTTTTGTTACAGTTTAAAAAAAATCCTAGTGTGGAAAACAGGCGATTAACCTTTGATATTCCGATATTTCCTCGAGGAGTTCCGATAATTCGCTAGATAACATTCATTATTCTTGATATTTGGAAACCAATTTTCTGGAATTCGGTCTTTGTATTGCAGACGGGAATTACATCTTCACTTCCTGATGCCGACTCTTATTAAGCTTCATTGGCTGTTTTTTTTATTGTTATAAGATCTTATGTGATATATAATTATTTATTTTTTTATTAAATATTCATGCGTCTGATATTAAAGCTTGTTTTTTTCCTCCAAAGATAAGAGATAATCTGACTATAAAGCAAAAATGATGATCGGACAATTTTCATTTCTTCTTTAAAAACTTTTTTATAGGATGCGATGTATTTAGTTTCGCAGATTCGCACAATATGACAAAACAGGCCTTTAACTTGGGTTATTTGTCATATGACAATGCACAGTATTGAACATTTGGATGAGACTAATAGCTTTTTTAGTTTACAAATTTACCTCCCTTGAACAATAAAAAGGATATAAATTACACAAGAATTAACGAAGTCCTTGCTGGTATTGAACGTGGTAGTGGTATAGCTAATTGTTATTTACGATTTCTTGTGTTTTTATTTCAGTCTTTTTTGTTGCCTTTTGCAGATTATAAACTTTAATTGAATCTTTCTTGGTTGAAAATTATTTGTGATTTTGTGATGTGACGAATTATGATTATAACATGTACAAGATTTTATGTAGGTCTTTTGACCGCAACAGAGAGAGGATGTGGTGTATTCCAGCGAAACACATTGCAATGGCGCATTAAATATGAAAAGTCTGTGCAAGATATATACTCATAATATGTACTCGTGGTTTAATTTCAACATGTGAAGCCTAATACACCAAGTCATACACCTTTTGAAGGTGTCATGTGTATTTGGTAGGTTTCTGCACCTCTACAAAGAGCATTATGTCTAAGACTTTAGAAAGAAAAAGCTTCGAAGTTGAAAATCAGACGCATATAGCTAAGTGAAGAGCAATACTTCAACTCAGCAAAATAACCTGTGCATTTATGTTAAAATAAAAAAACTAATAAAATACAATATTAGTTTATTTTGTACATTATGTTAAATAATATAATACAAGATTATCATACAAATTATCACATGCCATATATTAAGTGAGTTAATAAATCTTTAATACAATATAATAAATATCTTTGTCTTCTTTTGACCTTCATTACATTAATCACACTCTGCATTCAGAACAGAACCTTGAACAACAAATCTTCTTCATTTCAAATCTACTCATTTAAATGATTGTGTAGTAAATCAGGGCCCTGGGCCTTTCACGAAATAGTTTTTGAATTAACACAAAATAAAATGTTTCAGCAATTCTTCATCTATACATATTGTCAGCGAGACAGCGATCGATTTTACAACATTTATCCGAAATGGAGAAAATATTGCTTTTAATAATAGTACTTTACCAGGTGTAGTGATGGAAAGTGCAACTAAAGCTTCTAAGAATTTGGCATAATATGTAAAACATCTAGTCATTATATTAAAAACTAAATTTAAAGATAATTTAAAACATAACAACAGAAAGCGGACAAGTGACTGTTGTCAAGCGCTGTATGACGCAGTGCAAATTTCGAAAAACTAAAAAGGGACGCTCTTTCACGTCCGAGAGCTGGAGGGAGGGGGGGGGGGGGGCGAAATATCTGAGGCTGCCCGAATTTCTAACCTAGTCATGAAATTTTTGCCCGAAAAACATGTCTTCGTCGCTACAAAGGGTAGGGGGGGGGGTGTAACTCCTCTGTCCGCCCTTTGGCCCCGCCACTGAGGGGACGTCCAGAATAATAGTGCGAGTGGGCGAGATACATGTACAAATCTCCTTAAGGCGCTTACGTTTAAAATGCTCGTGCATAATATGATAACATAAAATGATGACGGGGATCATTTTCCACTGTGGTCAACCTGCACGATTTCACTTGTGTCGGAAATACAAGGTACAGCGCTGCAAGACAACCAGTCACTTTTTATCGTACAGGAGTAGTTAAAAATATTAAATTATAATAGAAGAAGAGATATGACTAGAAACTTTTAGAGCCATTTTCTACATCTAATAAAAATACACTTCAAAGCAATTCCCACAATAATTATCAATATTATCGACTATATAATTATAAAAAAAAATACACAGATTAATGCTTTGTTTTGGGCGAAAAAAATTTAAAAATAATCGCAAAAACTGCAAAAAAAAATTAATATTCTTGAACATTGTGTGCTGATAGAACAGTTCCAAAATCTACATTTTCACTATGACCTTGAAGGCTTGTAAACAAAGAGCTTGTAAACAACGCAATAAGGGAAAGGTAACCATTCATTAGGCGCCTATCACCGGTTCGGTTATTCCACTAAACACTTTTACAAAATAATAATACCGTTGTAAGTCTAAAACGAACGCAAAAGCAAAACAACTGAAAGATCATCGTCATTATTGGCGAAAACATATTAAGCAGTACTTCAATACATGCAAGGTCGGCAAATCTAAAAACATATTTTAAGGAATACATTAGTGTCTGTTTATTCATTTAGCGTCACCTTTTCAAAATTAGGCGAAAATTTCGTCACTCGCAGAGACAGGGCGCTAACTATTTCTATTGCGACAAGTCCATAACCATTCATAAACGCTACATCTAAATTTCACGAAATATACTCTACCAAATTCGCATAGCTTACATAGCATTCTTTATTTCACTGAATAGACACTATAAGGCAGAAAATGTGTGTCTACGCCTGTTTTATTTCATCGTGCATACATCACAAGTACATACGGTTTAGCAGTCAATTCTGTCGACACCAACATTTAACATCAAACCGTTATCCCAACCAATGAAGCAAGCTACTCCAACAAACGTTGACGTTCAATACTTGTGTTACAGACGTTAGCCGGCCGCAAACTTAATCCAAGCAAGTCAAAAGTAAGTCAAGCAATGCGGTGTTCACAACTTGTAGCCAATCAAATCGTCTAGCCCGCATCACATTTAACTAATGCTCTTCGTAAAAAAATGATAAAGCACAAGTACATTTTATTTCCAGGCAACTACTTTCCTTCGAAGACATTAACATCATCTTAAAATATCACACAGATCCGAAAATTTCTCCAGAATCCTAATGTCCACTTTTCAACTTTGTTTTATGTAATTGGCTGCTTATAGCTAATCAACAAATAGATAATGATTGAAGCTATAGATATCAAAGACAATCGGACAATTTAACGAATACAGACCTCTACGTTTGCCTTCTCACAGTTGAAAAAACAATGAACTATCACAGATGAACGCAGTTACACCGAGTTCGGTGGCGTTTGCGAATTTATTGTCGTTTGAGGCTTGGAGTCTTGATGACATGTTGTTTGCGTCAACGGAAACTGTTGTGGTGGTACACCCGTGCTATTCCTCGCTTTCAATATAGCCATCTTTGCCGCTTTAACAGCATCATTGTTTGATTTTGCATTTGATTTGGCTTCTGATAAGCGTCTATATTGCGATTCGTCCATTTCCTTAGTGAATTTGCTCGGACTCTGATCTCGGCAGCACAAGCTCGTGAAGCTGTTCCTGAACACCTTATTAAAAACACAGTACACAATAAAGTTGGTGGCAGCATTTAAGGCTAACAAAGTGTCTGTAAACTCACGAATACCTTTGACTAAATTACCCGCCTCGTGGTAGCCGTAACCGAATACGGTTGACATGATAGCGTCCGGCGTAATGCACACCATAAACACAACGATAACTATAATCATCATTACTGTCACACGATGTCGCGAATTGTTGCGCTTATTAGCACGTGTTTTTCGCAAGGCTCCAATAATACATGCATTTAAAGCGACTAGAACTACTAAAGGAATAATTGACCGAATTAAATTTTGAGCCCAAGTGTACGTTATCACAAATGTTTGATTTTTCCACATCTCTGTTAGCATCACGTGAATCATTGAAACGTTTGTTTCTGGGTCAATGCACCAGATAGTTCTATAACGTAAGGCAGAAGGTATAGCCAAGGCGATCATCACTAAATATACACCAACGCACGTGTAAACTGCTCTCTGTCTATTGCATATTGTGCGCGCACGTGTTGGATGACATACAAGTATATAGCGTTCAACGGCTACAGAAACTGTCAACCATGACGAAACGCAAGTTGACATGTTAAAAATAAAATGTGCGTAAGGATACAAATAACCATACGCTCGGTTCCCGATTGTGGTATCTGTTTTGTAGAACACTATAACTAAGAAGTATAGAATATCATTAATCAGCTTTATTCCGTCTGAAACTGCTAAAGCACTCAAGAAAGCATTGGTCGAGGTTCGCATATTATTCTGGGACAGCACAATTAACGTTAATATGTTTCCTAACAATCCCGGAAAACATATACACGGATATAATATCAATCCCGTAATCATTCGGGAAACTTCGTAAAATTCTTGATGGGCCTCATCGTGTGGTTCCTCATCTTCCACCACACAGAACGTGACATTAATGATGCTCGAGTTCCAAGCCATTTCCGTATTGTTTCCGATGGAAGTCATACAACTAACTGACAGGTCATATCAAACTCGACAGCTTGACCATCTGAAATGGAAAATAGACTTATTAATTATTTAGCCAAACAAGGATAATATAGAACGGTAAGGGCAGCAGAAGCACGTCTTGTATGGGTCCTATGAGATATGATATAGGTCTAATATGATATCAAATTACTTGGTCTGTATCAAATTCTATTCTAATGATCATATAATGGGGATTATAAAACTATTCATCTAGATACGGGTGAAGGCCGTTGATTTCTAGATTAGACTATTGTGTATTGTTTTAATGACGTCTTCATTACCGAATTGAACTAATATACACTTTACATGATAAAAAACTATACACTTGTTTTGTGCATTTGCGTCTTAAAATGATAACAGCCATGTTTTATAAATGACCACGACGAAAATCAGACTGTTGAAAGAAGATGCTTAACCTTTCCTACGAACACATCGTTATCGCCGAATCTACAGAAGATATATTCGTACATGTGAACCTATGTTAAGTGTGTTGTATTCGACTCTAGCAAATGGAAACGCATTAAAAAATACTATACTAATTCTTTAAAAGATATAGCTGAATAAATCTTCAAACGCAATGTAACTTAATTTGATATGTAGAATATTGAAAGTCTTTTGGGCATTAAAAGCGTCAACTGTGTCCTTTATTCCATCAAAAAAGACATTAATCTGCAAAATATGTCAAAATTTAAAAATGCAATGAGCTCATCATCGATGCTCTGTCATCATTATTACGTTAAATTCTTGAAGAGTTTCATAATATTGATTTACATTCGCATATACTTTTATCTAAAACTGAAAATATTACATAACGTTTCTACAATTAACATTATCATCATCCGTTTAACTTGTATACTATACTCCCTGAGTATTATTGTACACAACGTTCCAACAATTTACAGTTTATATTGTATACTACTCATGGGTTTTATTGTACACGACGTTTCAACAATTTACAATGTCATCATCAGTTTATATAGTATACTACTCATGGGTTTTATTGTACACGACGTTTCAACAATTTACAATGTCATCATCAGTTTATATTGTATACTACTCATGGGTTTTATTGTACACGACGTTTCAACAATTTACAATGTCATCATCAGTTTATATTGTATACTACTCATGGGTTTTATTGTACACGACGTTTCAACAATTTACATTGTCATCATCAGTTTATATTGTATACTACTCATGGGTTTTATTGTAAACGACATTTCAAAAATTTACAATGTCCTCATCAGTTTAAGGGTACAATAATTATAATACGCAACGTTTCAACAACTTACATAGTTATCATTAGTAAATGTGATATACTATTCCTGGGTTTATTGTACATAACGTTTCTACAATTTACATTGAATTTGTATTGGTATACAATAATACAACAATTTTCAAAGTTTATATGGTACATTTTCTGAACTTTTATAGTACCCTACAAATGTTTACGTCATACTGCTGTGGATCCTTTTAATAACAATATCTTAGTGTGGTAATTTACATGTTCAATAAGATCTTAAATAAAATTAAGTTTTAATCGTAAGATTATTGTCCCTAATGGACATACAAAGAGAAATATGTCTTTGAATAAATTCATGTCTATGACAATAAAAACATTCGACAATGATAAATATCTAAGTTTATGTCCATGGAATTGATTTTACCAGTAGACGAATTACAGGAAAAACGATTAAGTTAAAATAATGGAAATCAAATCTTGCAGATCATATAATAACCCGTAGACATAACATAACTACAATTTGAATAAAAATTCGCCTGAATAATTATTTGAAAGACAGATTTCGTTTCGTGGTAGACATGATTTTTAAACCTCGAATTATCAACTTGGCAATATGCCTTCTGTTGTTCATTTCAAAATGTGCCATGTTACTATAAAGTTCAGTTGTGATTGATATTCTCTGGATTAAATACAAAACTGAAAATCACATGTCACTGATTTTTACAAGAATAAACACAAAACCTTCAATCGAACGTTAACTTTTTTATAAATGTTATATTCAAACTATTAAATTGACCAAAATACAAAATAGTCTTAAACATTTAATCAGGTGGTCATCTAGATTGTCTCTTATATAACAACACTATGATGATTATTCAGTTTAATCACTTTCTGGCGTGATTGTAGTAATTGTGAAAAACCAGAAACAAAAACTTTGAATTTAAAAAACGTGATAATTAAAAATCAAGAATTACATAACCTTTCTGCGTGGTACTAATAAAATTCTTACGAAATGATTGAAGAAGAAAGTTTGCACGTTAAAAAAGATATATCATTTTACACGTGAACTGGTTGATTCACGTGAACAGACGACGAATTAAGCCGCGAATAGACGAGGTACGGTGGGATGAATATGATTGAATATGATTCTTCTCATGAAGACTTACAACGCCATGCAGTGTATAATGAGGACAATGAGGAGATGGTACTTCACGATTTTTGATTGTCGTTATATTTATTAGCTTCGGTTATAGTCCCATTCAGAACATAAGACGAGTTTTCGACGATGTCAAACCGTACAATAGGGGGAAACTGGGATTCCTTGTTTGACAGATTGCCCTTGTGTCAGATCTATATATGTTCAGACTTCTAATTCAATATCAGTAACTCGAAACGTCGAAAGAGCCATAACATACGGGTCCATCAACTTCAACTATTCAATGATAGCATAGAGATAGGTACAGTACAAGTAATCTGGTAGCAGAATAGTGCATATTCACACCCAAATGGTCACTTCAACCTTTCTCAACATATTATGATACAATGTCAAGTGGATCGCCGACATCAGGCTATTCAAACATTACTTAACGTAATAAAATAATACAAATGATTCGATACATCTTACTTTTGATATTTTAAAACAGGAAAATGGGACGTTAAATATCCATTCATTTCTTTAACAAATTCAAAATGAAAAGCCAAATTGCGTGTTTAAATCGTTGATCGTTTGCGCAATAATAAAACAGCACCTTCTTGCAGCAATCTAGATAACATTCGCCCCACCTCTACTGAAACATGTTACTTAGAGTTTCGCTTGCCGAGATCATGGCCTCTAGGGGCCAATACCTGTGCCCGAATATCTTAATAACATATATAGGATAAATGACGTCAAAAACATAATTTAAGTGACGTAAGCAATATGTATTTTATTCAAGAATATGAAATAGCCTACTCTTTTTGTCGATTTCCAATAGTCGATGGATTTTTAACGTGCACAGCCTCTAGCACACATATATTTTTAAGTATATAGTACAAAAACGAAATCTAAAAACACGCGTTTGAATTACAAGGATAATATGTCATGCAAACTTTCTATTCTTTATAAAATAATATATTTTATAGCAGCAGAAACAGATTCAATTTTATTCTCTAAACTGAAATTCAAATCAGTTGTAATAAATGTATTTATCACGAAGAGAATGGAAAAAAAACGTAAGCATAGGATCCCATGACCTGAATCGGAATAGGGAGAAACACCGAATTAAAGAAAATGTCAGATTGAGCTCCAAGTCTTAGTCACTG